TTCCGTTGCTTGGCGGCCCCATTCTGAATCTCAATCATGGTCTTAGGTTAATCAAATGGCAAAACAGTTTCAGATGGTGGGGTAGTGCAAAAGATTGTAAATCCAACTGGTCCACATTTCTCGACTCACCTCATACTCTTGTTTGTGCGAACGTCTGCATGAGCTTCGGAGCGTCCCGTAGAAGGAAGCACTATATACTCTATACTATATATACCAATTAAACTTTTTATTCAGCTGAGCCATCAACTTTCCCTGGCACCTGCACTCGGCTGCGACCCACTGCAAGTCATTGATGAACATTGGACGTTCATGCAGCAAACGAAGATCTCTTCCGAACAGTCTGTCTGTAGCCTTACTCAACGGTCTATGAAAGTCTAGACCTCCACCTGCTTCCTACATCTCTCTGACCACCGCGGAAACATCCCGGTGGAGCCTAATCATAATAAAGTGCACCGTTCTGTCCGTCGACAGCTTTAACAAGGACTACGCAGTGATCGCGATGCTTAGTGCTCCCTTCGTAGTTCAGGACTGAAGACAGCTGGCAATACTCGCAAGTTCTTCCAGCTCATTCTATCCACTGGTCACGGAAGCCCGGCATCAGTGAGACTATTTTTGAAGCTGACGATTCGCCGATTGCCAACCTACAGTGGTGGTTTGTTCAATAAGCCGAACATTTTCACACCCAGTTCAAGTGGCCATTAGTGTCCACTTGCCTGCCATGGGAATCAAGCTGCTGGCAAAGCGAAAATTCGTCTAGCGATTCCGCACATGAAAACTTCAAGGCTGCCTGCTCATACGGGCTTCATCCGCAATTATTATCAGCCAGTTAACCTCATCATTCTCCAAAATCTGGACTGGAGAAAACGTGCCTTCTTCCTGGAGTGAGTCAGTTGTTGTCCTAATTTTTAGAATGACCGCTCGCGTTTCATGCACCAATCACCGAGGGATTAGTTTCATTTCGGTTGCCTCCAAGCTATTTAAATCCATTCTTCTTCGTAAAGTCGCGGTACCGGGAACTACAAACTAGTTTCCATCCTGGTTGTTGTGTGGATCAAATATTTACTCTCCCAAAATTCTCGAACACCGCCACCTCTACCAAATGCCTACCATCATTGCATTCCTAAACATCCGTACTGCATTCGTCGCAGTTGATCAACCTGTACTGTGGCATTGCTTGGTAAAGAACGGGGTCCAAGAAAATTATACTACCATCCTACACGCACTTTATCTCCATATCCCTGACAGAGTGAGGGTTTACGGCAAGCTTTCTTTGTCATTCACCGTCAGTAGCGCCGTACGACAGTGCTACCCAATGTCTTCTTCCCTCTTCAATTTTGCGATTGAAGACATCCTGTCGAGAGCTCTGGAAGGTTAACAAAACTTTGGTCAGCAGATACTGCCATTGAAAATAAGTTTCTCTCCGCATCTTCAAAGCTCGGTCGGCGTTGTTTTAACCTGAAAAACTTATGGCATGACCGAAATGTCTCACTCTTGGTATAGGGTCGATTTTGCTACCTGGGGAGTGTAATTTCTACATACCTGCAAATATTGAAGGAGCTGCACATTCGCCTAACGAAAGCGGCTGCTGAAGTTGGCAAACTGGATTATCGTGTTTGGAGTAATCATCAGTTTATTGTTAGGACGAATCTGAGTGTATACTTATCAATGGTGCCGTCCCTTCTTCTGTACCGTAGCGAAACGTGGACGATGTATCCGAAGGACTTCCCGTATTTGAAGCGTTATCGTCAACACTGCCTACGTAGGATTCTACGCATTTGCAGGGGGAAGGTCTTGCAGACACGGAAGTGCTGCTCTGCAATGGCGTGAATGCAATGGATTGCATAACTCTGCTGCCACACCTGGAGTCGATCGGGCATATCAGTTGCATGGACTGGATAAGAATACCCAAGCAGCCGTTATATGGACAAATTAGTGAACGGAAGCAACACGTGGGAAACCGAAAATCGCTTTACCAGGAGATTATCAAGGTGATTTTATCAAGAACTTATGTTGATTTCAGAGTTTGGGAATCAAAATCAATTGATCAGCGCTAATGGCGTGAGCTTATCAAAAGGATGGTCGCCCGGGAGCAGGAGGAAGCACTACAGCATGCGGAAGAGGAAAGTCGGGTGCGAACGCGGCAGGTACCGGTGGAGTCTAGCCCATCGATGTCTAGCGCGTGATGCTGTAGCACCTGTGGTCCCGAGTGCTGGAGCCAAGCCGACTTAGCAAACCACCAGCGTACGACGTGAGGCCAACTTCTAAGAGATGAGTCAGCTGAATATGTGATCATCATCAACACAGTGCTTGGTAAGTACGACTTACTAACCCAAACCAATAAGGAGGTTGATGTGGTACGTCCGCCGTCACATCGCTGCAGTTGGACTGTGCGCGTGCCTGCTTGGTGAAATTCTCTGAACTTCAGATGTTGGTTGTTGATTGATATCCCAGGTGTGACTGCGCTTGATGTGAATGTTGTCAAGGTGCCTAACTGTATATTACTCCCCAACTCGTTTACTGGTTCCAGGAGACAGTTGGTCGTTACTGGAGAGACTGGGTGCACAGTCTTCGAGACCGTGCTGGGCTCAAAAAGTGTTTTCATGCATTCTTTACAGGACGGACTACGGCTCAGCCACCTCATTGTGTACGTCTGATAGACATGATTTCCACATAGACAGCGATGCCGCTGCTGTGTATGATGAAGGAGTGTGGGACGGATCCGTTGAGAAAACTTGGCTCCCATCCGCATGCCACCTGGTCTTAATCCTTCGGGTTTACACTGAATATGTGGCGTGCGAATGGCGCTGTTGGCGTTGCAACCCAAGCCACCTTAACTGCTAACCGCAGCACCTCGTGCTCTCTAGCGCCATAATATATGTGGGCACTGCACTTGCCCTAGCTGACTGCAGTTGAGAGACAAATGACAGTTCCCCGTGGATAATGTGCAGCCAAGGCCGATGAGCATATTACCAGGCGGATTGTCGCGATGACGATGCAACAAGTAACGTGCCCAGGAGCAATATACAAACTGCTGGCGTCATCCATCGCTAAGTACCCACTCGGAACAGCTCACCAAGTTGACCTAACCCTGCGTTTACGGTTACCTGTCGAAATGAAACACCAGGTTGCTGAGGTTTACCGAGGCCCTAACCCTTAATCGACGTTGTTCCGCTCTTTGTATACAGTCACCCTAAATATTCCTTGGGGTTCATGAGCCTCAACGATCTGTCGCTTGGTGTCTGTGTGTTTTCCATTCTGACCAAATTCGTGAAAGACGATTTTCTCCTCACGTGAACTATAATATATGTCGTGCATAATTCCCATGAAATCAGAAGATCACAATTACGCGCAGAACATAGTTTTCGATAAATCTCATCAGGGATTTACAATTATAGAGCAAAATTAGAAAACCGAGTGGCCATGAACGCACTCCGGCGAGAGATCCTCACCTCAAACATGACAGGTGACCAGCATTTGTCACCGCTGATCTGTCTGCCCTCACCTACCGTGTGCGTTTTGTCTGAGCGGCGTACTTCGACTGATTAGGACATTGATCGATGGCCAGCCATGCCAAGCCAATAGATTGTGTGGATTTCGTGGTTCCTTCTAATTTAAACCTAGCTTTCATTAGCTAATCGGTTTTCTAGTCTTGCTCTATACTTGTAAATGCCTGAGGAGATTTATCAAAAATAATGTTCTTCGGGCAATTGTGATCTTATGATATTTGTGTTGTTGCCTTGTACGTTAGCAGACATACCGAAATGGTGCCACGTTGCAGTGGTTATCTTCTGATTGTGTTGTTCGAAATGGCATAAGGAACACACTGGGTTAAATGTCCGATGACGTCTACTTCGGTTGAATAAGCGGTTCATGTTCTCGCCAACTCGGCGCCACTACTTCAAGTGTAATTAGCGCAAGACTCAACATGGATCGCCTCTGTGTGAGCGTTGGTTTTAAACATGAGGGCAGTTTAACACGACTGGTGTTGCTGGAGACGCGATCTGTAGAAAATACACTACGTGTGATGACTGGCTGTGTAGATCTAGTAAATTGCGTCTGGTCGAACCTACGGTAACAACGCTGCAAGAAGAAAAAGAAGAGTAACTCCAGGTAGAGAGAAGTGCAAGATTTATGCTTCTGTTGACTCGACGAGGGCAGCAACTGGTCAGCGGGAACCGCAGAGCACGGGACTGCTTTCTTGTTACATACCCATCTCCAAGTACGCACTCGATCTACTCGGGAGGTAAACCTACGATGTGCTCAGTTGTTTCGACAGCGCATGCTTACGCAAATGTTACAACAAAACATGAAGTGACTGCGTGATTGACATATTTGCAAGTGTCGAGTGCTTAGGCATTCTGTGAACTATTGTCTGTTGCTGCTGATTACATAACTGGTAGAACTTGTAATTTGCGTCCGGTCGGAGGTTCCGATGGTCTACGGGGGTAGTGATAGACCGATGGGGCAGAAATACAAAACGGATACTTCGTAGGTGGCTTGACAGTTTCATCGCATTACCTAGTAAGAGTCGAAGCTGGATGGAGTATGCACTTGACTTACGCCTCGTGGCGTGCTTGACAGCGTTGTCACAGCTATTGATGGAGGACCGAATCAGCTGAGATCGGAAGAATGACGGGTAAAACAATGCCGAAGAAGAAATAAGGCAAAGAGAAGAGAAAAGGACAATGGTATCCTAGACTAGACTGGACGACATCTTATCCGTTGATTTGCTACAGCGACACTCCGACGTGCTACACAAATCTTGTCTGTTCATGCACACGGATCTCTAGTTGCCTCAGCATAGCGGCTTGTTTTTAGGATCCCACTGTTTGTGGTTCGCTAGGTCATAAGGTCAAATGTCAGTTAATAGTCCAGCAGTGGAATCTGTGAATAACTGATCAAAGAAAATTGTGGAAGTGTAAATGTTAGGAAATAGATTACTATGGTGGAAGAAATCACCAATGACTGAAGCTGAGCTGATTTGGGCTTTACCTGACTTGTCAAATCAAAACGAAGCACTCTGTATGGAACATAAACCGAGGAACCGAGAAGAAGCAGCTTTGTTCACGAGAGAGTTGACTTACTTTCAAGCAACCCACGTTACCCCAAGCTGCTGCAGCATGAATTGGCATCATCCCAGTCAGCTCGTCTACATAATTTACGCACTGAAACGCAATATTAGTGAAGTTAGTCTGAGTACACTGCAAAAGTCCTAGTGTATGAAACACCACCAATCATTCAGACAACATTGAACCTAACAGCCTTACCGTAGGGGTGTGCTGATAAAATTGATATTTGAATTTGTTATGACAACATTTAGTAGATATAGAGACAAAATGTGGAGGAATGCATTGATTGACTAACGGCTTTTTACCTCTTCATTTTTCAGAAGCTTCTCTAGTCCGTCGATATCGCCGTTGGCAGCTGAAAAGGGGTCAGCAACCGGGACTAGTTTGTGTACTTGCAAATGCACCATTGTGTGGCCAGAAGTACCAAGTAGACAATGAGTGTACAATTTTGTCTATGCACGGCCATTTTATGATGATTCAGATCGATCACTATTTGTAAACTTAGCATTACTGTGAACTAATGATGGAAGAACAACGGGTTGTTATAGGCTGAATGATAGGGGAGTTTGTCAGTGAGGAGTGGCCTCCACGCATTCACTGGGCATTTGATCACTATCACGCGTTCAGTGTGTAGACAGGGGTTGAACACCGCCAGGGGGGGAGCTGCACAAATCAGTTTTGTCGATGCATGGCCGAAGCGACTGCAAAGTAGCCTAACGCGGCTTCACATGTAATATCCCCACCTACGGTAGCCGACATCCTGTGGACATAATTTTTGAAACGTATTCTTTCATGTATACGTATGCCGACCATTGATATATGCTCTAATGCTGTATCAGGTGTTGGATGCTATATTAACATTCTTGTGAGGAGGTGCCAATTAGAAGAATGTGTAGTAGCTCTGTTCCTGCTTATTCTAAACGAAGCAATCCAGTAGAAAAAAAGGTGTATTTGTTTAAATGAATTAGTTATGAAATGAACAAGGATCGAAGCCGAGACCAGGTTTGTGCAATTTCTGATACAAGTAACAGACGTTATTCACAAATCCTGATTGTTACAAGGTCACTGTTGGTAATGCACTCGATCTAAACTGGACGAATCACCAACGTGATAGCAAGCTTGTGTACTCAGCAAGATTAAATGACTTGTCTTATAGGTCGGTAGAGCAACGATAACACAGGGTAACACAATTTTGCCAGCTTTCAGATGCAAGAGATCCTTAAAGTGATCCAAAAAGAAATTTCCATGCTGATTCCAAATATCGAACCCCTTTTTCTGTGCACATAATTTGATGTTTTACATAAATAGAAAATTACTTACCAACCCACTTTTGTTTCAGTTATACCTATGGATCATTCAGATTGACATTAATGTACAAATGAGCCTGATGCATTTTGCTATATATGTAGATGTTATACATTTCTTCGTCATAGGAGAAGTATCAGTCCGTTCGTGAAATGTGTTTATGAAGCATACTTTGAAATACCCTTGGACACCAAGACAAGAAATAGGCATCTCACATTGTGTGCCATTATTGGGTGGAAATGACTCGTGGTTGAACCAATGGGAAACGAAAATACCTGCCATGTGGAGTTCTCATGGTTTAGCAAGAACCTACGAACCACATGACCGATTACAATTTTTGTGTCGTTAATACGAAAGGTATTGGAAAAAAACGGCATTAGATCTATTATCTCAGTATTTTCTCTGCAATTCGACCAATTCCATACTCTGACGAGCCTCCGGTCCTAAAATTTGGAGGTTTTGCTTCATTAGATGATAAAGTCAGTGGGCGTGAAGATGGGAGACAATGGGACATATATATGACATCGGACAATTGTTGGAGCATGAAGCGTAACTGCCCTAAAAAGCACTTCGACGCAAAAACTATAAACGTAAATTTTTGCCAGAAATATACTTGTTATACAGCTACTTTTGTGCTTAATCCAAATGTTGCCTTGTGAATATATGTTTATATCAATTTGTATATGTGAAATACCTCGGCTCATATACCATCATTATGAAATCATTCGTCTGTGAGAAATTCTTAATAGTCATCTTTCCTAAAATATGTAGCTTAGACAAAAACTAATGTGAGCTTTGAATTCAGCACGCTAAAGTATAAAAGAACCACTGTTACTTTTTTGTAGCCCTACGCGCAACGTGATGAATTAAAAAGTAGCTAAAAGATGCGAAAAGTAAATTTCTTGGCTGGTTTTCAAAAATAGCTGTAGCTTACACAGAAATACTAATATCAGGTTTGAATGCAGCATGCTCAAATTATACGAAAAGTTGTGTCCGTATTCATGCATCAAAATTGTTGTTGCCCTGTGTAATGGAAGTTAGATTGTTCTGAGAATGAAAACTCGGACACGAATCAAGCTTATGACATAGTATTCACTTAGGATGACTTACGGTTACCTATTTATGTGATTTATGTGATGCTTCCTAAGCAATTGGGAAAGGGAAATGTTACGGTTTGCTTGCTATACTAGTAAAAAGCAAATCAATCCGTTGATGGCATGTAGAGGGATTGTCAAACGACCATCCGGGTGGATGTGTCCGAGCTTCCATCTGAAAGCCCCGAGTAAGGAAAAGTTTGCTTGGAAATTGGAGAAACACTTAAAACTCCTGGGTTCAACTAAAACGAAACCGAAAGTAAACTGTGTTGTTAGTTAAATGAATATCAAAACCAATAATAACTACTCGGTACAATATCCACACAATACAAAAGAAACAGAGCATTCACAACATGCACAAAGTACATCAAGCCGGAACGTGCGCTCTCATCCACAGTGGTGTGAAATCTGTGTACTTTGTAAGGGACGACGACGTGCCCGTCATACACTGGTGTGTACAGCAGTGGACAGCAATGTCCAAAAGGATGAAACTGCAGTTTAGTGCTTTTCCGGGCATATGGACAACTATCTTGTTTAGAAACTGCTGCGACAAACTCTCAATTAATAAAAAAATGATACTGACTGAGAATGACAGGTGCATACGATTGGGATATCGCGGTGACTTCTCGGAAGGTGGCGCCAACAGAAGGGACAGAGGAGCGATACGTAGGACATGCGATGAGGTGGACATGTATCAGGTAAGCCTGGCTTAGCAAATGTAGCGTTTGGATATTGTGGTATATCCGAGCGAAAACTCACCGCCCAACCGTAAATTTACCTGAGAATTTTATAGGTTACACCCCGAGTGAACGCTCATTCGCATTACGATTTGGTGGCTATTTACCTGTGTACCGACAACTCGCATAATGAATTACCGAGGCAGTTATTCAGAGATGTGGAATAAAGCTTAGGTTGTTATCAAGGTGATGGTTACAGCAGTGAGCATATCATGAGTCCCAGTTAAACTTCTGCAAAATACTAGGATTGAAATTGCGCACTGAAACCCTTCAATCTGTCACTGATATATATATATATATATATATATATATATATATATATATATGAGCAAATAGAAGAATCGCGCCCAGTTAGGGTACCATGACTCACCGGCAAGGTAGACCAGAAAACCGTCGGAAGGTTTGTCAGATGGTGCTACAATGAGAGGTAGGCGGTTTACGGTTAGCGTATCATTGCAACACGTACCATATCCATCAGCTAGGCAGATAGTAAACAAGCTAACTTTCAGAAAGAAAGCATCGCACAGACTAAAAACCATGCATGAATTAAAGCAACGTAAGCGTAAAACCGCCATGTCTGTCGTTGGATAGGAATTGGCGATCAGCCAGAAATAAGCTTTAAGGGTTGGTGCGAAGTTGTGAGGTAGAATGTGCATGAGCCATACATGAACCAAGGTGACACTCAGCAGGTTGCCTCTTTACTGCGGCACACTGCATTTCTAGTCACAGTGACTCACAGACCTGAGTGAAAAATGCTTGAATCCTCAATACTAAAACTAACTGAAACGAGCTAACCGAAATCTCCTAGCCTAGTGACTGTGCGTAGGTACAAAACAAATCAGCTTGGCTAAGTTAATCAGTTACGGTGGTTCGTTGCCATCATCCGGGGGTTAGTGGCTTGTTATTGACTCAACAGTGGGATGTCAAGGGTGCGAAGCCTTTGAATTCCAGGGGATATGGACTGATGGTGTGCAGGGACTCATGCTGACGATACGGTCGGCTGGCTCTATTCCGGATAAATCACGACCGTTTGATGGGATATGGTTTCGGCAAAGCACTCAAAGTGTGACGAGCATATTTGCTATGGCAAGCGTGGTAGTGAGCAGATTGTTTTGCGATGGCGTGAAATAACAGATAAAATGTGAACGCGCACAAATATAGATTCTCATAGAGAAGACAAAATAGAATTAGACTGAAGGGGTGAAGATTGGAGACAGAGAATCGTCTGGGAAACAATCGACATCTCAAGAACAGATATGGGACTAATTGAAGTGACCAATCATGTGGGCAGTAAATGATGAGAAGAGCAATAAATTGCCTAACTATGAGTGTTTGCAGCCGCGTACATCTTCTCCAGGTTACTGAGCGTTTGGCCACTCTGTGGCCCCACCTAATAAGACGCAGAGTAGCAACTGATACATGCCATTCCCGAAGACTGGTGTGTACACAAGCAACAGGTCAAGTTCAGTGGAGATATGTCAAGTTCAACGAATATCCCAATGAGCCGTCGGAGAACTTGATATCGGACACCTATTGGCGGACGGCATCAGCATTCTGTCGCGGATCCCAGCGACTACAAGCGATGATGCCAAGTATCAGTGTGTAGGCGTGCTGAATTTTGTATTGTATACATTTTGTATACGCGAGGCTTCTGACTGGTGTTGTGTTCTCGGGGGGTATGCGCGAACGTCTACTTATGGTTACGCCTTGGGTGTCAGAACTCAAGCCACCGGACAAGCAGTCTATTGGTCAACCAGTCACAAAGCGGGACGACGTGTGCAGAAAAATACAGCAATACCGTTCAAATCACATTTGTGTGTGCGTGTTTGATTCCATATCTAGAAATTCGTCACAACTAGACTCACTCAGACAGCCGACACACGCCCGGAAAAGCACTGTACGCACGTTTCATCGTTTCGGGAATCGTCAGCAGTGCATCATCATCATCATCATACACGTTAGCTAGAGGTGGGGAACACCTCAGCTACTGTGCCGAAACACATAGAAAAAAGAGAAAAAAATGCAACTGGTGCAAGCTGGCTGAGCTACCGTTAACGGATGGGCATCGTTCCGGTAAGCTACCAGCCGGCTGCTGTGCACCAAAAAAATTACTATGCAAAATTATATGAGCCAAAATAATGAGATCGTGCTTGGAGGGGGAGGCTAAGAGGGATGGGGTGGGACAAAGAAACTCACAGCACGAACACCACTGAGGTCGGCTCCTAGCCATATCAGCAAGTGTGTCCAACCAAACGTGTTCATCGTCTTTCGGACCCCAACCAGGGAGCCGAGACGCTCCAACGGAGGCCAGCTCAGCATTGTGGGCCTTCATTCCTCTGGACCAAGTCATCGCTTGGCCACTCCTCCTCTTCTTCCATCCACACCCCCAGAGCGCAAACAACGCACGTCGCGGAAGTCGGTGGGCTGGCATGCGTAACACATGGCCGAGCCATCGGAGCCTGATGCGTGAAATAACGGTGCTGAGCGGTTCCGTTCCTTTTCCTGTGCCATAAACAAGGCGTCGAACACGCTTGTTGCTCACGCGTTGTTCCCACCAGATGTGAGCTAAATTACGAAGGCACCGGTGGTCGAATGTAACTAGCCTCTTGAGGTCCGCTGCTTTAAGCGGCCAGGTTTCACAACCGTACAGTAGGGTCGAACGTACTGCTGCATTGTACACTCTACCCTTTAGGGAGAGAGTGATGTTGCGCCGGCGCTATAAGTGGCGAAGGTTAGCAAAAGCGCCCCAAGCTTTTGCTATACGATTCGTGATTTCATCCTCAATCCCACGGGCGCTGATACAACTTCCCAGGTAGTTGAATTTTTGAACGACTTCAAGCTGATCCCACCAAGGGTCAGCGTAGGAGGCGGTCCAGACCAATCTTGGAGGAACGCTTTGCATTTCGAAGGTGCGAAGCAAAGCCCGAAGTGACGGACAGCTAGTGCTAATCTGTCCAGTGCCGCTTGGCACGTTTGTGAGCTGTCACAGATTAGGGCAATATCATCAGCATACTCTAAGTCACGAAGTCGTTCTCCTGGGAGTAGCTTCACACCTTCTAAGTCATGTCCTGTGAACACGATTTGCATGACTTCGTCAACAGCGAAGTTGAAGAGGAAAGGTGACAGCGGGCATCCTTGTCTTACGCCGCTGGAGATTTTAAAGGCGACGACAACTTGCCGTAAGCCCTCACTCTGCTCGAGCTACGAGCATATAATGCTCGGATAATATTCACATATTTCTCAGGTACACCTATCCTGAGTAGACAGTCCCAAAGTCCATGTCTATCCACCGAATCGAATGCACCTTTGATATCGAGGAACACGACAAGGGTGGGCCGCCAATATATATGACGGTGCTCCAACAACTAACGCAAGGTGAAGATGTGGTCGATGCAACCATGACCCCGACGAAACCCGGCTTGCAGCTCCCGAATTTGGCGTTCACGAGCGCCAGTCAGTCTGTGAAGGATGAGAGAGGCAAGCAATTTGGAGGCGATGGAGATCAGACTAATTCCCCTATGGCTGCAGCATTCCGATCGTGAGCCACCTTTGAAAATTGGGACTATGATGGAGCGGCTCCAATCGGTTGGGACTGTTTCCTGCTCCCACAGTCTCACTAGTAACTCGTGTAAATCATCCAAAAGAGCAGGTCCCCCGAATTTGAAGAGGGCTGGAGGAAGGTCATCAGGTCCCGAGGCTTTCTTTAACTTCAACATTTTGATCTCACGTTCGACTTCTGAGCGAGAGGGTGGATCCAAAGGAACAGCCCACGGAGCAGGGCGATTAGTGGCCGGCGAGAAATCTAACAATTCCGACCGATTAAATTGCCTTTCAAAGTGCTCAGTCCAAAGTTCCAGGCGTTTTGATAAGTTGTGGATAGGCTGTCTACTCTCGTAACGTATAGTCTCAATAACACCAAGTATCCTGCTGCCCGTTTCCCGTATAAGACGGAATAACTCACGATGGTTATCAAGGGCAGCAGCCATTTCCGTCTCTGTTGCGCGACAAGACCACCAGGATCCGCGGTCTCTCTTCAGGCTAGCACGGAGTTTCGCCCGGAGCTCTTTGCGAGTTTCATTGTGTTCGCTTCCAGCCGGAATATGCCGGCGAGCATCTATAAGTTCCAGAGACTGAGAAGAGACCCAATGTTCATGTTGGCGATTAGACACACCACATGAGGATTTGCCTGCTGCCAATAAGGCCTGTTGCATATGAGACCAGTTAGCTTCAATTGCATCCAGTGAGCGTTTATCCAACTCGCATGACAGCGTAATTTGATAGGCGTTCAGAACAGCTGGATTCACCAGTCTGCCGGTGTCAATGCGCTCACAACATCGTCGCGGGCGTCCGCCAAAACGCATCCGAATGTCAGCACATACAAGTGCATGATCGGTATCAACACCTGTGCTCCAAATCGAGCGGCAGTTCTGGACGCAGCCTCTCCAGCGGTAACTGATTGCAATGTGATCGATTTGCGTCCAAGGCTTGTTCGAGGCTGGTGGGCGCCAAGTCACCCTCCGGCGGGTGCTGTGTCGGAAATTTGTGCTCGCAAGAAATAAGCGAGCATCCTCACACAAATGAAGTAACCGCTCACCGTTATCATTACGGGAGCCTATACCATGTTGGCCGCCCAGATGCAGCTCACCTGTGGATAATTTTCCAACTTGCGCGTTCAGATCCCCAGCCAGCACTACTGTGTCCGAGCTTCTTCTATGGCTAAGGAGCTAGGTCAGTTGACGATAGAAGTCGTCTTTAACCGAGTCATCGCTACAGTTTGTCGTTGCATAGGCAGCGATAACGAATATACACCTGTTAGTACCACGCGACTTGGAAGTTTTGAACGAGTCAGCCAATCGGACCACACACATCTGGCTACTGATTGGAATCCAATCAACCAGAGCAGCTTCAGCCCGGGGACTCAGGGCAATACCAACACCGGCTTGGCCGGTGCTCGAAGCTGCATCGTCACCGGATAAGCGCAATGAGAAAGTGCTGCTAGTGTCACCTGAAGGGGATCGCAGAGTGAGTACGGAGCTCGAGTCTTGCAGGCGTGTCTCCGATAAGCAGCAGATATCGATCGAGAGGGTTTCTAATGTTCGGGTAAGTGCTGCCTGTTGACCGATCTGAAGCAATGTGCGAACATTGAGGTATGACAATCTAAAGGAGGATCGAGGGCTCCAAATGGAAGCCGATGAACTGGAATGGGCCGCTTGCTTGGACATGGGCCTGTTGACAGGGCAGGAAGGACGCTCTGCGTTCACCTGTGAGTTGAAACTAAAAGACAAGCGACTATTGAAGCAAGGTGGGGGAGGGCCGAGAATTGGGGGTTGAAAACAGGGGGGGATAAAAGTGAAGCTGGAACGGGACGATAAGGGTGAAAAAGCGCAAGAGGGGGAATAAGAAGATGGGAAGGCT